CATCTGTAGTCACTGGAGGGGGACCACAGTCTCTCAGCTCCTCTGCTGCCCCGAAAGGAAGAGTTTATTAGAATGTTCTAGAGAAGGGAGGGCGTGCAAAGTCCCATAAGCAGAAGTAGCAGTGCCAGCGTGCTGGGAGGAAAGAAGTCCGAGGGCAGCACTCAGCAATGCAAGTAAAGGAGGGGGCTGGCGAAGCGTGGTACCAGCTCACACAGGGCTAAGCTAGAATCGTAGGCCTTTACTATTCATGGTATCTGCATTGCTCCCATCATGGGCCAGGTCCCAGCACTGCACACTTTCTTTGCATAGTCTTATTCAATCCTCAGACAATCCTGTGGGGCAGGTACTATTATGATCTAAACTTTACAGATGAGAACACTAGTGCTGAGTGTGGGCCCAGCACCCTACCCCAGGTCTCTCTGAGTCTAGAGCCCCCGGGTCACCATTTCTATACAACTTCCAATCTTGAAGCCAAAAAAAAAAAAAAGCCTTAGTTAGATGTCAGCTCTGTACTTAGCGTGTGCTTGTTGGACCAGTAGCATCGGCATCCTCTGGAAGCTTGTTAGCAATGCAGAGTCTCAGGCCCACCCAGACCTGCTGAGTCAGAATCTGCATTTTAACAAGAGCCCACGGTATTTTGTACGCACCTTCACATCTGAGGAGCCCAGCTCTGGAATAGACCATCGCTTTTCGTGTCTTTTTCTCCAATCACTAGGGCTCCAGCATGTTAATAGGAATTAGAACTTTTCATGGTCAAACGGGTTTAGGAAAAAGTGAGTTGAACAAAGCCAAACCGGCTTCTTTGTTACTGGATCTCTTGGCACCTTTAACGAGCTGAGATATATATTACGATGTGCTAATTGGGGGTGGAGTTTACAGCATTCCTCAAACTTATCTGACCTTAGAGAACTATTTTTTTCTTTTTCTTTTAGAAGCAGCTTGCAAAACTAGTGTACCAAATAATTAGTTTGGGGGAAGGACTGATTTAGACCAGCTGCCTTATGGCACAACTGTGTAAATGAGGTTGAGCGCCATCCTCCTTTTGCCCAAGGTGGCAATCAGCTGGTGGCTGTGTTGGGGGCTGCACACCACCAGCCTTGCAGACTTTGTGTGCAGTGTTCTTTCCAAGGTCTGGGGCTCAGGAATTCAACTTTGATCCTGACCCATCATGTCCTCAGCTCTTTTTTTCCAGTTGTGAGGAAGTGACTGTGCTGTAGCTCAACAGGAGGAGGTTGGAGTCAAACAGGTTAATGAGCTCCTATCCAGAGGCCAAGCCACAGAGCTGACAAGCGGCCAGGCAAAGGAGGGAACGCTGGTGTGTCTGGTCCCAGGGGTTGGGCTCCTTCCCCGGGGGCAGAGATATTTCCAGCTGTGCAGCCCCACCAGGCAGAGCTGAGCCTAGACATGGTATAAAGGTTGAGTCCTGAAGAAGAATCCAGGCCTCCTTCTGGCCAAGCCCACAACCACAGGATCACAAAAAACAGTGAGTCGCGATCCAACCCTTGGGAGATATAAAGGACAGTGTGTGTGTGCTGGGGGCCGGAGGGCATCAGAAGAGTTTTTCTGGACTTCTAAAATTGAGAAGGGATTGTGGAAGTGTCTACCACCTGCCTGAGGCACTGAGATGTGAAGAGCCTTCTCTGGATCTCAAAGGGGCATCTCTTCCAGTTTATGCCACATATTCAGTTGTTGGGTCAGATAAGGCAATGTCCTTGTGGCAAAACAAGCCTGCAACCGGGCATCCCAGGGAGGGGGGCAGTGAGGACCTGTGAGGTCACGGAGGTCACCTCCTCCTCGGCCCCCAAAATAAAAATAAACAGTTCACCTTCTCTGCATGCACCTGCCTGTCTTCCCTCTGGTCCTTCTCCTGGACGTCAAGACTCTGCAGTGCGATCCCCGAACCCAGACCTTGTAGGTACAGAGGGAGTTTCCTTGGAGGGATTAGGGGAGGAGACAGAGAAAGAGCCCCTCTGAGTGCCAGGCACTGAGCTGGTGCTTCGCCCATGCTATCTCACCCTCCCAACAGAAAAACAGACAGGTACTATTTCCCCCCCATTTTATAGGTTAGGAAATGGAGACACAGAGAGGATATGCAGTGGGCCTGAGGTCAGCAAGTGAGAGCACTGAGGCATGAGCCCCCAGGTTCTGCACTCTAACACACTCTTGGACAGGAAAGTGTTTAGTCTGGGGAAGCAGACCCAGGGAGAGGAAATAACCGGGGGATGAGCAACCTCCATAATTCCACCAGGGGTGGCCCAGCTCTGTCCCTCCCACCCTCAGGCCCCTCATACACACTGCAGAACCATGGAAGGCAAGACACTCAGACCCCACCCTGACCTAGTAAAGCTGAATCCCTGGTGGAACCCATGCATCCCTTTGTTAAAAGTTGTCCAGTGATTCCAATGCAGTCAAAGTTGAGAACCAACCTCCTCACTTTATAGATGGAGACACTGAGCCCAGGGAGATAAAGCAGCTTTTCCAACAGTGTGCAAACCATTAACACCACGAGAACCTCAGCCAAGGGGTATAATTCTCCGTCAGCCAAGACTGGCTCTTCAGACCACCTTTCCCGCTGACTATGTAGGCTTGCATGAGTCATTTAACCTCCAGATGAAAGATTGAAATGCATTTACATTCTTTCTATAGTATAAGAGTTCAGAAAACACATCTTCTCCCTACTGATCCCCCTCTCCAAATCCAGCCCGCTTTCTAAATACTATATAATGATGGACGGAGTAGACTGTGAACAAGGGTGAGACTGAGAACGACTATTTTTGAGTTTAAGGACAAGGCAGGACTTGGGGTGCCTGGGGATGTTATCTGTCCAGAGGGTTCCTGGGGAAGGACCCAGGTGCCATCCAACGACTAGCTCGAGGTGACTGGGGTGGCGGTAGTGGGGAAGGAGGGCACAGGTGTGAGATGGCTGCTGTTGACTGGAGGGGCAGCCAGAGTTGGGCAAGTCCATCCTACCAGGAAATGCAGGTAATGCAGGCAGAGGCCCCTGCAGGTGGACAGTGGTCTCTTTAAGACAAAGAGCCCTGCCAAAGTGCCCTCCAGGGAGGGATGGCTCAAAGGCGAGCTAGGGCAGGGGCCCCTCCCCTGCACGTGCCTTTGCTGCATAAATAAACGACCGACTAAAACCCTCATATAAATATCCTACCCTGTGAACAGTGTTTATTTCCAGCAGAGTGGAATTAGGGGGAACTTTCGCTTTCTTGGTCATCCATTTCTTTGATATTTAGCTTTTCCCTAACAACCACTGTACTACTTTTGTCATAAAAAATAATGCATTTTAAAATGCTAGTATAAATATTTGCCAAACACCCTTTACCTATGCTTCCAAAAGGACTTTTAGGGAAAATCAGTCCTAGGAGGAAGATTTTCAAGTTACTGCAGCTGAGGCACAATTTGGTGCCCTCTCACTTATCTCAGCCATTTAAAATGGCAGCTTCCTGGATCCCAGCTGATCCTGCTCTCCACCAGCAGGAAGCATTTTAGGCCTAATCAGCTCTTCTGTCCCTACTATTGCTTTGCCATTGAAAGCTCTGCTGCCTTTCTCCCCTATGCCATGCCCAGGTGCTCTGCCAGCCGCAGCCACAGCCACACTGGACTCTCACTCCATGTTCCTCAAGAGCAAGAAGATTGCTTATCCCCTTAGCAAATGGTTAACTTTCAGTGCAAGAGAAGGGAGAGGGAAGAGGCTCTAAAAGACGATCGTGCTAAAGAAATGCCATTGTTTTGTACCAAATAGTGGCCCCAAGACTGGCTGTGCCCAGATGTCGTGAAGTGAGGGGACAACCACAGGGAGCATTTCAAAATGAGAAACTCTGAAAACAAAGTGAAGGAGGCCTGGTGCACAGGGTTCGCCCCTCTGGGCGGTGTTTGCCCTGATCCCTCTGCCTTGCCCAGCCAGACACACCCAGGCACAGAAATGCTTAGCAAAACATCGTGCAATGACATCTCCTTAGCTTAGGGATGATTGTGGGAGCACCTAAGGCCTGCCATCCAGTGGGCGAGCACAGAGGTGCCGAAAGACATGGGTCTGCCTGAGTGGTGGGCAAGCTTGAGTCTAGTGCTTAAAGCACACACTTTTCACACAACGTGGTCCCTAAATATAAGACAGCCACCTCTTTGCAAGGTTACCCAAAGTCATAGCATCTGTTCCATGCTGATGGGAGCACTGGCTGGTGGGGCTCCATGAGAGACAGTTGGTCAGTCTCCAACACGGTACTTCTGGAGGAGTCATCGAGGCAACTTTGACTACGCACAGGAAACCTGTGCACTGATTTTGGAGAATGACCTTGTATTGGACATGACTTCCGTCAGTGTGGGATCCCAGCTCCTGCTTCATTGGCCGCCACCATTCCTTTGTTCTCTTCCCATCCAGACCCTTGTGTCTCTAGCTCTTGACACCACATAGGCCTTTGACTGGGGTGGAAAGCCAACTGCTCCATCACGGGGGATACCTGGCGTATCTGGGTGGGACAGGGGCCACCAGAATTTGGAATGATTCTTCTAATCCCATAATTGCCAAAAGGACTCAAGGGCCTGATATTTAGTGAAAAAGGCATCAGCTTTCTCATGGAACTCGGCTGGAAGGGTTCACGCTCAGGGATGCCAACCCCTTCCTAGTTACAGGAATCTGAGCTATGAAGACACTGGATGGGGGACAAGGCCCTGGGCTTGGAGACAGAGCAGTGTTTCTCTGGAAAGGAATCTTGGCCTCTTGCAGACCTGGGAAGTGCCAGGGCTTAGCTCCTGCGTGAAGATAGCTGGTGCCGACAGCTGGGGTCAGGGCTCTGGGACAGCTCCCTGCACAGGCCGGTGGTCCTGGAGCGGGAGGTGCTCTTCCAAAGGCGGGGCTCTGGATTCTGCAGATACCCCAAGGCTGGCCCCTCTGACGGCCCTGGTGGTGTCAGAGCCATTTCACAAGCACTTGCCACAGTTATCAGCTCAGGCTGAGTGTTTCTGGAGTGTGGAGAGAGGGCGGAGGGAGAGGAGCAGCTGCAGGCTTCCTCCCCAGCATCTGGGCGGCCCAGAGGGGCTGAGGAGTCATGGGACAGTCATCACGGATCTGTCTCCAGCCTGCTGGTTCAGAGCACGCGCGTGGGGGCTGGGAGGCTGAGATGCCGGTCCCATTCCAGCTACATACAGGCCGAGTGCTGCGGACATCTCTCACTTGACTTCTCTGGGCTTCAGTCTTCTCACCTGCCAAGTAGAGATAATAAGACCATTGTCACAAGGCTGTTGCAAGGCTACAGGAGAAATGGGACAAAAGGTACAAAGGTGTGTCACAGAGTGTGAGCCTGCTGGGGAAGGCTGGGCCACATGGTGGTGGGAGCAGACAATGACAAGGCTCTTTGCATCCTCAATAATGTCCTCTGTTTGTCTTGTTTCTGACAAAGGCTTGGAGAAAAGGAGAGGGGCTCCCTGTGGGGCGTGGAAGGGGTCTAGAACACAGAGTGCTAGTGCAGGGAAGGAAGCCAGGATTAGCAGGCAACCGTCCTCTTGGGGGGCCATGGGTCTGCCCACATATGTTTGATGTCTCATATATCATGCAAAGGCTCCTATTAACTAAAATAAACTGTTTCCCTACGTATAAAATGAGGGATTGGATGGGCTGAATGTCAGGCTCTGTCCAACTACAATTTGGTGTCTCTCGATACACTGAAAAACCATCCTGCACATGCACACGTACAGGTTCACATGCATGTACACACTCACATGGAGTCACAGTTGCTCACACCGATATGCGTTCTGTTCCCTGGGTTCAAGTCAGAATAAGCTGGTCTTTGTGGAAACCCACAGGCTTGAGCTCCAGGCTTGGGCACACCTGTGCTGCTACTGTTAGGCCTTCCCTCGAGTGAGAGAAGAACCAAGACCTGGGGCCACTCTCCTGTCTGGTCTCTGCATTACCACAGAGGCAAGGGGGACGGCCAGGCCAAGGAGGATGCAACAAAGAAGAGGAGGGTGCAGATCCTCCCAGAAGGCAGCGGTGTAGGGACTTGGCTTTAGCCCACTCCCAGATGCCCCCTAGAGAGGACCGAATGCCAGGCTTAGCCCAGGAAGGCCCGAGAAGACCAGCCAGTGCTCAGTTCACACCTTCAGCCTTGGGGTGAAGCAGGGGGACTCAAGGGTGACATTTATGGTCGTTGTCCCTAGCTCCCCTGATGCAGGACCAAGCAGCGTGGCTCCTGGGGTAGCAGCACTGGATCATGAAGTGGTTCATCCAGTCACCTGACACCTTTCTGAAGCAGACCCAGGCCCTGCTTTGGAGGAGCTCAGAGCTCTGTGCCCGGATGTTCGCTGTACGGTGGATTTCCCAGCTGGACTGAGGAGACCCGCTCCTGGCATGATGTGAGTAGGCTTCAGTGTAGCCAAGTCCTGGTGAGGGCTGAGGGTATAACCTCTGGGTTTTGAGTCTCCATCCAAGCCTCGGAGCACAGAAGACCCCCTTTGCCCCGTGTGCCCCATGCCTGGTTCCCACCCTGTGCCTTCTCAGGCAGATGCCAGGCTGGATCCCAACACCCCAGCCTGATGTGTGTCACTACATTTCCCAGCACACACACCACAGGTCAGGACCAGGCAGATGCTTCAGCACAGGGGTTAAGGAGCAGCCCTGCTGTAGGAACACGGCAGCCAGGGGTGATACTTCTGGCTTCGGAGACAGAAAGAGCCTCAGAAGAAGGAAAAAGAACGAGCCCCAGGAGAAGGCTGGGATACTGATGGAACCCTGCGGGAATGTGATATCAGCAAAGACTTGGAGGCAAGAACAAATGAGGGCCGAACACATTTTTGGCAGAGACCTTGAATGGCTCCCTGGCTCAGAGGCGATCACTCCTTCGTACATGGGGAAAGGGATAAGGGTTTTGGAATCCAAAAGATCTGACGGCATACTGAACATGTGACATTAGGTAAAGCATTTAACCCCTCTGAGCTCCAATTTTCTCTTCTGAAAAATGGAGATGTCACTACCTGCATTGGCTATCTCACAAGGTGGTCATGTATTATCACATAAAGCGACGCACAGATAGATGCCTACTTAGCACAGAAGTGATGTCTCCTCCCATTTCACCTTCCCTACAAAGCCAGGAAAATGCTCTGCCCTCACCTCAACACCATCCTTCTCAGGAGACTGGTGGGTTGCTGAGATGTCCCACTTCCGCAGGAGCAAGCAGCACAAAGGGAGAAACCAGGCTCCGGGCTGGGTGGGCATCAGGCGCACCCAGGATTTCGCCAATGAGAAGTGCCTTCAGACTCCATCAGAAGCTGGAGAGCTAAGGAGAGACTGGGCACCAGCCGGGACAAGGAGGAAAGGAGACAGAGACAAGGGAGGGCCAATTTGTTTTTCATTTGCACGACTTCCAGCTATTTAATTGCTATTGGTATAACCAAGCCAAACATCTTGGCTTGGACTTGATTCCCTCCCACCCCTGTTCTTTTTTTAAATCCAAAACTGAAGAATGTATCTCCTTTAGAACTGTGTCTGCCAGCCCATTCCTTTCTGTTCCTGAGGGTCTAGCTGGAGCTAGTCCCCGTTTGCCAAGGTCAAGGGCTGAAGACATTGGCTCGGCAATGAGATGCTGCAGAAGGCCAGGCAAGGAGGGTCTCTTCTGGTGGAAATCGGGCCTTCTAGATACCTTTTTGTTCGCTCTCTTAGCCTCCTGTCCTCCTTCTTCCTGTGCATGGACCGTGCCTGCCTGCCTGTGTGCTGTGTGTCCACGACAGGGCCACGTTCTCAATGGGGGAGCACTTCTACACTCGCCTAAAACTAGAATGAAAGAATCTGGTAAAATGGAGATATTAGACAACTATTCTAGTTCTTCAAGTTTTATTTAAACTGATTCTACCTAAAATAACCAGTTAAGTGAGGCTGGAGCAGGCGGTCCATTCTGCTCAAGTGACCCATATAATTATCTTGATTTTCCCATTTGCTTTGCGTGTATAAGACAACATGTATAATCAACATCACCCAGATCAAACAAAAAGTGGTATTAGGCCCAGCCTCTTCACAGGTGGCATGTTTAGTCTTTTATTCAACATACCTTTTTCAAACAACAAATATTTATTTTGGCAGATACCATGCTAGGTGTTGGGGATGCAATGATGAGTAATCCCAGATAAAGCATATGTTTTTGGTAAGAATAAAAAACACAAAACAAAAAAGCAAATATGATCCTTGAAAATCAAAGGTCAGCAAGAATCAAAACTTTTCTGTTTATTGGAAGCAACTTTTAGTAACTGTCCACAAAAGTAATGAACACCTGTGTGTGAAGTCAGATTGCCTGGGATGCTACCTGGTTATTTATCTAGTCACCACCACTAGCCTCTTCCAAGGCCAAGGGCTCGCCTCAAGGCTGTTAAATTAACAGGTGTGTGGAGAAAACCATTGACTCTGGCATGAGAAGCCCTGAGCCTACAGTCTCTAACAGATGAATGACCTTGAGCCAGGCACTCTATTCTCTCTTTTCTAATCCATAAAGTGGGCACCACACCTACCCTAGTGAACCACAGTATTCTTGTGAGGACCAAGAAGATCATGGTGAAAGTGCCCTGTAAACTGTGAAACTCCAGACAAAGGAGGCAGTGTTGGAGGAGTTTCTCCACGCAGAAGTTTAGTAAATCCAGGAAGGAAAGAGCAAAAGAAGGGAGGGAGAAAAAGAGGACTGATAGGGATTGCACTGCCATTGTCACACTTAACCCCCGCGACAACGCTATAGAAGTATCATCCTCATCTGCAGATGAGTAAACTGAGGCACAGAGATGTTAAGGAAGCCACGTTGCTAATCTGTTAGGAGTTGGGGTTTGATCTGTCCCCCCTCATAAAGTCTAGCTGGACCTGTGGGGAGAAGACACCAGCCTCTCTCTCTCTCTTCTTTTTTTACTCCAGAAAGTATAGGTGGCTTCTCCAAAGCCACAGAACTGATTAGTGACAACATCAGAGAAAAGACAAAAGGTAAGATAGACTGATTGTTTTTCAAACTGTGGATGCTTCTCCCTAGTGGGTCGTTAAATTCGTTAGCAAGTTGTAACCAGGAGTTTTAAACAATGAAATAAAATGGGATAGAATACCTAACTAAAAGGAAACACTGCTTCCGGATGCTCTTCAGTTTTGTGTGTGCAGAGCCCAACAGTAGAATGGCTGTGGGTCATGGTCAAAGCCTCTGAATGTCCCCGACAGGAGAGTGAGTGTGAAGGAGGAGGAGACCCATGGGACTGACAGGACGCTTGAGCCAAGTCCCAGATCCGATCCTCCTCCGATTCAAGCAAAACAGCTCTAAAATAACCACAAGGCCTATTTTTAGCACATTCCAAAATTACCTTTCCTTTGTCTCTGGCAGTGACCCGGAGGGCTCCTCCACACCCTGCAGCTCCTAGGGAGAAGACAGGGGCCCAGAAAACCGGTGTGCAGGAAGGAGGCCAGGGGCCAGACTTTTATATAAACCCCCAAGCTGTTTCCCTTGCCTGACTTCCTCTGCCTGCCTGGGGATTAGAGCAGGGCCTCGGAAACAGGGAACAGCATCCTTCACAACAGGATGTAGCAGAGGGACCACGCACCACTCTCTGAGTCAGGCCCCCGGTGAGCCAGGCTCTAACTGCACTTAGTCACTGCAGGACACCTTAACTCTTCGGAGAACAGGAGCAGTCACAGCTGAGGGTCTGAAGGGAGGATGCAGGGGAGTTTTCCAACCCGTGGCCCTGGGGACAGGCCTTCCACAGCCTCGGCGCCCACATTCCTGCTCCTGCACCTGGAGCTCACCCAGCACCCAAAGCTTGAGGGTAGAGAATAGATGGCACTTTCAGGATGCCTCCCATGTTAAAAGACATGCTCGGGTGCACGTGCATGTGTGTGCGTGTGTAATGGGGGAGTGTGTGGGTGCTGAAGAAACTAGAGTAATCAGGAACCTCATCTCTGGACCATGAAAGGGGTTGGTAGGGGTCCCGCCTGTTGGTTAGCAGAAGGGTTGACCTCTGTCTTTTCACATGTGTGGGGATAGGGATGTATTCCCACACATATGAGGGGATACATGTATGAGGGCACACATGTATGTGGCTATGAGGAATGGGAGTACAGTGAGAAGAAAACTATCCATGATACCAAAGAAAATGTCAACCCTGAAAATGGATTATCACTGAAGAGCCAGCCAAGTGAGAACAGGCAAAGTAAAAATTGAACACTGCAGTCGATTTCATGAGCCATTCAACATTTAGGTCTAATTTCCATATAGATCGCTAGGGATTATGCTTGTCAGTAAATCTCACAGGAGACAGACTTTGTTGCGGGTTTATCTGATTACATGAAGCTCTGCTCATGGGTGGTCAACCTTCACTGAGTGTTGCTCCTGAGACAGGGCTGCTGTGCTCCCAACTTCGAACATTCAAGGGGAATCCTGAGAGCCAGTTCCCACCACTGCCCAGAACCAGTCACCTCTGGAGAAAGTGCCGTTCAGGCAAACGTGGCCAGTGAGAGGTAAAGCCAAGTGCCTGAGCGCTCTGACACCCAACCCCTAATCTGCAAGGCTTAGCTGTTCACAGTCCCCCTGTCTACACCCCAGATTCTGGTGCAAAAAGGCTCCTAGGAGAGAGATTCCTGGGAGAAACACCCTGGGTGGCTCTCTAGTATGGCCAGGGTCTGTGGAGACACACAGAACCTAACTCTAGTGAGCGAAAGCTCCTAGCCCAGGGCTAGCTGAGTAACCTCAACACTGGAACTTTCCCTCTTTGTAAGGGTGGTGTTGAATTAGAGCTGATCCTCAGGGCAGAGAGGCCCAGAGTTCTCGGGGTGCAGGGTGGTCTCCTGGCAGCTCATGCTCCTAACTCAGTGAGGTCTAAGACTTTACTTCCTTCTAGCACGGCCTGGGAGGAGCTCCCAGGCCCCTGCAGGCAGAGAGCCGCTGCCATGGCTCCAAAGCAGTTGTGGCTTGGAAAGAATCTCTGGCATGTGTCATGTGTCCTCCACAAGCCGTGATCCATGGTGTGTTGGAGAAGCGCTTTGTTCCGGGGCCAAGAGGTCAGTTCGTGGGAGGGTCGCCCATAAGTCTGCATGCGAGGCAGCTCCCCTCCCCAGAGCCATCTGCTCTGGCTCACAGATCCAGCAAGGGAGGCTGGGTGGCTTAGGCCTGAGCTCACAGAGAGCTGCTAATGAGCTGTGGCTGGGGGTCAAGGCCAAGGGTTGGAGAGGAGGGGCCATGGAGTGATTGGCCCACTTGGGTGGACCCATAGGGACAAGAGCTGGTTTGGGACAGGATGGTGGGAAAAACCCAAGAACCAAGTTGTCTCAACTCAGTCCCCTGACCACACTGAGACCCGGTATAAGTCATGTCCTGTCCTTGGGCCCCAGCCTCCTTCCTAGTGAAATGAGAGGGTTGGACAGTCTCAAAGTTCATGTCTAGCTTTGGCATATTAAGGCCATAATTTTCTGGGTTTCTTAAAAGACTCACAGTTGTCCTGTGAGCAGGAGCCACAGTTCAGCAAAGTAAAGTGGACAGGATGGGGTGCAAAATGGGAAAGGGGGTACTGAAGGCAAGAAGTAAATGCAGAGAGTTTGAATTTCCCAGCTGGCCAACTGGCATGTACGATGTCATTTTCTTTATTTTTCTGTAATTAGGTTTATTTTGTATCTCAAGCCCCTATTCTGGCTGATACAGAAAAACTAATGTAGTTACTTTCAGGTAAATTGATCACTTAAGTCATTTTCTCAAACATTTTAGTGCTCAGCTCTATTAAATTCAGGATTTTCACTCTCATTTCCCACCCTGGAGCTGAGGCTAAGTGCAGGACCCACTGACTCCGTGGAGAGGAGGAGGCTGTGCCTCTCTGCTCATTCTGCCCTGAGACCTGCTTTGTGATGTCACGTGTCCCTATCTGGTCTGTATACATGCCCCCACCACGCTTTGGCTTGCCCTTGGCCTAGGGTTCCACGCTGCTACAACTCCCTGCACCATGCCTTTGTTCCTACCTAGACCCCTTTGCAGACCTGCAGCTACCTTATGGTCACCCTCTCTAGTCTCATTTCCACTCCCCTGGGTAGAGCCATGGGAAACTTGGGGTGGAGGAGGGCCCAGGGAGAGGCATTCTTTGCCTAGACTTGCCACTTGCACTTCTAGTCTGTAGCACACCATGGTGGCCAAGGGGACTCCCTGAGGCTCACCTAGGGTCCCCACCCTTGTGGGAGTGTTCTGTCATTTCCCCCACCCAGGACCCAGGAGGGGACAGGGTTCAGGGCTCCAGAAAACCCTGAGGGTGCATCTAAGTCTCCAAACTGTCTTCCTCTTCTCCAGCTTAGCATATTAGTTGGAGATGGAGGAGAGTGTTAAAAAAATGATTTTCATATCTCATATCTCATCTTTTCATCATCTTTCCTGGCTCACACCTGGAGGGAGGCCTTGGGCCTCAAAAGCCAGGCACTTGGTGTCTTTGCTCTGTAGCTTTTTTTAAAGACTACTACCCATTTCCTGCCTATGTGGGAAAGAATCAGACGGCATTATGGCTTCACATATCGAATCCCCCAGAAAAAGCTGGGCAAAGGGTCAGCACCAGTCCCAGGCTCTGAAATGTCTTAGACAATCATACAGAAAAAAAAATCAAAAGCCTCTGGACTTTCAGGTCTCTTTACGGCCCATCCCAACTTTTTTCTCCCTGCCACACTCAGCTAGGACGTCATAGACCTTTGGACAAATGTCCTTCATCTCTCTGAGCCTGCATCTTCATCTCTAAAACAGGATTACTCTTTTATTTTTCATTGTGTTATGGTGAGAATTCTAACAAGTACTATAAACGAATCAATTTTAATCCGAACTTAACTAGAAGTGAATTCTGTCCCAGGAGAGACATCAATTCTGGCATCAATAGCAGGTTTAACAGGACTCAGTCTCCTCCCAACATGGTCCCCGGCCCACCGGAGCGCTTGTATTCGTTTAGCTCTACTGAAATGCCTGAACCCCCACCAGATGTTCTTTATCCAGCCTCCACCACTAAGGCACCTCTAAAATGCTATCACCTCCTAGAATCTCCTGAACCAAGATGGCATTCTCCTGGCCCTTCTTGCGTGATAACTACTTAGGCTCAAAACTCCTCTTATACCTTTGATGCTTTAAACGTATTAAGGGCATGAACTTTGTCTTATTTTATACACCTTCCCTGTAGCCACTGAAACCAGCCTGATGAACCCATGGACCACACCCCTGCTGGCTCACCAGCCACCACTTGGCATTCCAGGCAGCTGCCTGGGGTCACGCCATTACTTCCAACTCACTTTTACCCTCATCCCATTTCCACTTGACTCTCCCTCTTGGACCTGTGATTCTGACCATACACATCAGCCCCTGACCAGTCCACAGATCTATAGACTCATGGATAATGCTCACAGAGGGTTGCTCAGGGGGTGTTTGAGCCAGTGTCTGGGGCGTGAGATCGCCCCCGTAGATTTGACCCAGCCAGGCCGGGGGAAGATCCATGTGAGACCCCCGCAGCCATGGGATGTGATGGGAGAAGAGGGCTGTCACCATTCTGAAATCAAAATGGGTAAGATGAACCTGGAAGGTTCCTCCAAAGTAGGACAGGCCACGGAGTGAGCTGCTCCAGAGGCTCTCTCCATCTACCTCGGGGAGAAGACACCCTCACTGAGTCCTTCCTATGGGATCCAGGCACAGCGCTGGGCACCGGGGTGTGATGGTGAATGAGACATATACCGGCCCTGCCCTCTCAGAGCTTGGAAAGAGTTACAGACAATAAACAAGGAACTATGAAGTGTGATGGATATCGTGATCCCACCTGGGAAGCCTCTGGTATCAGGAACACTTGGTGAGGTAGGGGTAGTCAGGCTTGGTCAGGGAAGATGTCCTGGGGAGTGTGGCAGTTGAGGGGAAACTGGTGTTTTAAGTCAAGGAAACGGCAGATATGAATAAGTCACCAGAGAGAAGATATCACCTGCTGGGACCTGAGAGATGTT